TGCGGGGTTATAGAGTAGTAGGAGAGCCGGGTCACAGGATGAGAGGAGCTGGCCGGAAGTGTCCCCTGTGCAGCACTGGGGAGACTCTCAACCTTAGCTTGGAGCAGGAACCAGCAGCGTGACAGCCAGTGTGGCCACCTATCAGTGCCCCAGTAGTGCAGCCTCATCAGTGCCCCATAAGTGAAGCCTCATCAGTGCAGCCTCATCGGTGTCCACATCAGTGTAGCCTCATCAGTGCCCCATTAGTGCAGCCTCATCAGTGTCCGTATCAGTCCCCTATTGATGCAGCCTCATCAGTGCCCCATCAGTGCAGTCTCATCAGTGTCATCATTAGTGTCCCATCAGGGCAGTCTCATCAGTGCCCCATCAGTGTAGCCTCATCAGTGCCCCATCAGTGCAGCCTCATCAGTGCCCCATCAGTGCAGCCTCATCAGTGTCCACATCAGTGCAACCTCATCAGTGTCCACATCAGTGCCCCATCAGTACAGCCTCATCAGTGTTCACATCAGTGAAACCTCGTCAGTGTCCACATCAGTGTCCCATCAGAGCAGCCTCATCAGTGCCCCATCAGTGTAGCCTCATCAGTGCCCCATCAGTGCAGCCTCATCAGTGTCCACATCAGTGCAACCTCATCAGTGTCCACATCAGTGCCCCATCAGTACAGCCTCATCAGTGTGTACATCAGTGCAACCTCGTCAGTGTCCACATCAGTGTCCCATCAGGGCAGTCTCATCAGTGCACCATCAGTACAGCCTCATCAATGTCCTCATCAGTGCCCAATCAGTGTATCCTGATAAGTGCCCCATCAGTGCAGCCTCATCACTGCACATCAGTGAAGAAAAATTACTTCTTTGAGCAAAAAAAAAGGATTTTTTAAAAAAATTTTCAGTCTTTTCTTCATGTATTTAGTAACAAATAAGCACCCCGGTGGTGATTAAATATAACTAAAAGAAAGCTCTGTTTAAAAAAAAAGATAAAAAAACTTAAATTTGGGTACAGTGTTGCATGACTGCGCAACTGTCCTTTACCCTCGGTTCACATCTGTGCAGGTCCTGCAGCCGCATCACCCACACAGAGGAATGCGGGACCCGCAGGTGGGTGCCCTCAATTCTAAAGGCATGCTGCATGCACTGGAAATCACAACTGTACTGTGAACCTTGGTTCCCATACGAGCTGCGATTTTCAAAGTAGTGCAGGGACTTCTTCTTTGCATGTCCCAGGACACGGGCGTCCATTCAAGTGAAATGGCTCTCGTGTCCGCACAAATTGGTACCAGCACGACCGCACAGATGTGAACCAGGGCTTAAAGTGTGACAGCACCAAAAGTTGAAAATTGGCCTGGGCAGGAAGGGGATGAAAGTAACCAGTAGGCAAGTGGTTAAAAAAAAACAACTAACTATCTCCTAAATTTTTTAACTGCCCCCTAGATTCAAAGAAAATTTGTCAAGCCATGTATAAAGATTATATTCCAAGCTTTGAACATCTCACGGTGCACTGTTCAATCCATCATCCAAAAATGGAAAGAGTATGGCACAACTACAAACCTACCAAGACATGGCTGTCCACCTAAACTGACAGGCCGGGCAAGGAGAGCATTAATCAGAGAAGCAGCCCAGAGGCCCATGGTAACTCTGGAGGAGCTGTAGAGATCCACAGCTCAGGTGAGAGAATCTGTCCACAGGACAACTATTAGTCATGCACTCCACAAATCTGGCCTTCATGGAAGAGTGGCAAGAAAGCCATTACTGAAAGAAAACCATAAGAAGTCCCATTTTCAGTTTGTGAGAATCCATGTGGGGACACAGCAAACATATGGAAGAAGGTGCTCTGGTCATTTGAGACCAAATTTAACTTTTTGGCCTAAAAGCAAAATGCTATGCATGGCAGAAAACTAGCACTGCGCATCACCCTGAACACACCATCCCCTCCGTGAAACATGGTGGTGGCAGCATCATGTTGTGGGGATGCTTTTCTTCAGCAGGTACAGGGAAGTTGGTCAGAGTTGATGGGAAGATGGATAAAGCCAAATACAGGGCAATCTTAGAAGAAAACCTGTTAGAGTCTACAAAAGACTGCAGGAACTTTCTCGCGCTAGTGTTAACCCCTGCTGTTCCGGGCAGGGATAGACTGACTGCATTGCAGGTGTTGCTATAGCTGAATCCTGATAGTAACGCTTGGGCAGTTTGCTGGCGAGAACCGGACACTTAGCTCCAGCCATTGTTGGACAACTGGGTGTCAGCAATAGTTGTAGAGATGATAATCCTCAGCTTTTGCTACGGTCAACAGCAAGGCACAGGACTCCCCTGCTGAACGCTGTTGATCGATACAAGTCACTGGGTCCAACTGATGCAAAATAACTGAACATTGTAATCCTCTGGGTTGCAGGCCGTTCCAGTTGCCCAACGGTTGGACAACGATGAGCACAAACACATGACAAACACTGACTTTAGCAGGCACGAACATTATCAATAGAACAGTCTTTTGTTGTAGCCACCTGTAGAGAAGCAAAAAGACTTGGAGACACTGATAAGCCACTCTGGTTGCTCCGAGCAATGGCAAGCAGGATAGTAGCGCACATTTTACTGTCATGAGCAGGAACACAGCATACATAGTCTCTTTGAGGAGCCACCTTTAGTGCAGTAAAGGGATGTTTGTAGATTGATAGACCACTTCATTTGCAGCAAGCAAACGTACAGCAACAGCAGACACTTTATAGACATTAGCAGTCACATACTGAGCATAGTCTCTTGTAGAGGCCCCCTGAAGAGCAGCAAAAACACTATTGGATAAGCCCAGCATGGCTGCTATGGGCAACAACATAAATGACAGTCCTTTAATCACAGCACCAATCACAATCCCATAGTACAGTACACTCCACTTTTCCAGCCAGTTACGGGACACTTCCACCACTGCAAACACTTATTCAGGCTCATTGGTTTCCGGTTATGAGGTTCAACAGCCATGTAGGTTTCCACAGGAGATCCCAGATGAGCCCCATATGTAGCACTACCTCCATAGGAGTTGCTGAATTTTGGGTCCCCCTATAATCCTGCACAGCCAGGCAACACGCATTTTCCACACAGACTTGCATCCAGGACACAGTAACCAGTCCTTTAGCTTGTTTTTTTTTTATGTTTTTAGGGGAATTCAAATCGGATGGGGTAAGGGGTGTATGGGATGCCCAAGGGTAACGGCAACAGAGGACAAACTTTCCTAGAATTATATACATATCTTTACAGCAAGAATTCTCTTCTGGAGAGCTATCCAGCATCTCCTGTAGTACCACTCCAGATGCCAGATTCTCCTAATCCAGCTGTTCTGGGTGAATCTCTGGGCAGGGGATCCATTATCTTCCACTTTAAAGAAGACAGTCCTGGGTAGTAAGCTAATCCAGTTTTCCACTGAAGTGCTCCTTCCCCTTACTGGCCCAGGGGTGCAGCCTGCTGAGTGGGCTCTCCCACTCTTAAGGGCTATCCTGACCCCAAGGCAAGCCTTCTGTTGGGGATTGGCCAGGATCCCTTGAGACTGCAGACCAGCCACTCCTCACCTCCACCCACTGCTTCTAAAACTTTCTCCAAAGTTCTAATGCAGGGGGAAGTCTCAGAAAGCTGGTCAGCAGAGCCTCTCAGTTCACTCAGTCCTTCTCTTACACTGCTGGTGGGTCAGTGGCTGCTTTCTGGCCTTCTGCTGGGCTGCTCCTTCTCTGCTGCTGCTTAGGTCGTCCTTGCTTTGGGGGCCAGTGAAGTGCCAAGCTTGCCTCCTTACAAGATCCTCTGCCTGTAGGTGAGCTCCTCTCCATCTGGGCCCCCTCCCAGGCTCCTGCTCTACAGCCTCACTTCTCCATCTTTCACCTGATCTCTCCTGCTGCTGAGTAGGCTCTCCCACTCTTAAGTGCAGACCAGCCACTCCTTACCTCCGCCCACTGCTTCTAGAATTTTCTCCAAAGTTCTAGTGCAGGGGGAAGTCTCAGAAAGCTGGCCTGCAGAGCCTGTCAGCTCTGACCACAGTTTGACCCCACTTTGACTGTTACACCTGGGCTGCTACTCAGCCCCTATCCGCAATTTGTGATCTACCTCCCCCTAGCTGCCTAGGAGGGTGTTCCATTTAAACTATCCAAGTAGATGTATAAAAGGGTCTTGCCCATTTCAGCTATTTGCCCATGTCTTCTGCAGCTTTTACAGTTCTGTAGTCTTCATCACATTTTATAGTGGTAAAATTTGATAATCAAATAACATTATACATTATTCAGTGCTGATACACTATTTCAGCTGCACATAGTTTGCACCATTCAGATTTGTCTATTGAATGTTGAATGTTCTTCCTATAGTTATGTGTAACAATTTGGAGTGATTTAGGGAGAAGCAATTAGCCCACCAGCAGGGCCTCAACTGAGTGCGATGGAGCCCCAGAACCATTAGGGACTCCCCACTCTCTAACGTCATCTCGATGGCAACTTTTTGTGTGATATAGAATACTGTAATTTGTTAACTGTATCCAATTGTATTTGGCAAACACTATTGATTATTTGCATCAATCACTGCGTAGACAGACAACACTGATCCACTCTGCTTCTTAGACCCAGAGGACTTTCATCATCTGCTTTGGTTTTAGTTACATTCTTCTCTACTTCTATGCCTCTCTTTAATGGGAAGAAATGCATGCAACTGTGGGAAAATGCATTAATATTAATGCAGACAGCCAGGGCTGTGGATAAGCTGGTACCACCAGTCCTCCTGTACGGAGCTCAGGCCAGCAGGGGGACCCAGGCAGCTAGGTGAATCAGATGTGGGCAGGGAGGGTAATCAGCATGGTGGGGGGGTGCAATTACTAAAATGAACCCCTGTATGGCTCTCTCTATAGCAACTGAAAGCTGGCTTCTTCTCCTTCTGCAGACAACATTCATGGTGCTTACCACCCAGGGGCAGACTGACCATTTGGAAACTCGGACACTGGCCGAGGGCCTGGGGTCAGTAGGGGGCCCCATGAGATGCCCCTGGTACCTTTTTCATAGGCTTTTTTGAGTTTGGGAAAAGACACAGGGGCCCCATGAGCCCCTATTGCCCGGGGGCCCCATGAGTTGTCAGTCCCCCCCCCCCCCCCGTTACCACCTATAGACTGACCTACCAGTATGTTCCTCAGAGCTGTATCCTAGCAGTCAATGATCTGATTTATACTATATGGAAAAGTATAAACCTGATTGGTGTCTGGAAGAGAAGTAAATTGTGCTTATTCAGACCACATTGATACATTGAGGTTTTTTAGTCTTCAAACAGAATCTGAACAGTAACCGCATAATAAAGATGATTAAAGGAAAGCACAGATTTGCTTTCACTTCTTTAACTTCTGCTGTTATTTTTTTTTATTGCATTTATATTGAGGCACACTGGGCATGTGTAAAAGCCTCTGAATGCCAGAACTCCTGGCAGGAAAATGCTGCTTAATAATGCTCTAAAAGCTGCGTATTGCACATGCATTTAGATGAGCCTAGTGTTTGAGTGTTAATGCATTCTTTTGGTTAGAATATGAATTTATTCTGGCCAATGGAATGCATTAACACACACACACATTACACAAATCTAGTGTTTATGCACATTTAGATGCGTTTACTGAATGCACCTTTTTGTGGGGTTTTCTGCCTGTAAATGTTCCTCATCTACTATGCCTGTAAATGTGTGCATGGACACATAGGCTAACATAGAGGTGCTTTTACAGGCTGAAATAAAGATTCAGAAGGCAGAATTCTTATAACAGCGTGGAAAAAACGCTCAACACGGATTTTCCCTTTTTTCCTTCTCAGTGAAAATGTTCATCAGTACAAACAGAAGGGTGAATAACACCAGTGAGGACACAGACAGCAGTAAGAAAACTTGACAGAGATTTCTACCACTCACAACTCAAGGTTTTGCTTTTCCCCATCTTTTCCAGTCTGGAATTCACATACTCTGCATTGAAGAAAAGATCTGCTCTGTATACAGTTGATTTTGTTAATGTAACTGACCAATTTTTATTATTGTCACAATGACATTTAAAGTGGTATTAAACACAAAACCAAAAAATGTAGTATATTGCAGCTTACCAACCATTAAATGTGGAGACTGTATCAGTTTTCTTTCTTTGGCCCTCTGCTTTCACCTCGTGATCTGGCCAGTAACACCCCAGTATTAGTGAGATACAAGGAGGAATAAGCAAAGGAGTCACACCTGACAGCAGCATTGTCAGTCTTTGGGGGGGGGGGGGTGTTAGATGTTCTAGCAGATTTGAATACAATGACAAATTGAAGCCAAATTCTAGCTCACATTTTATAATCTGTTACAGCAGTTTTTTTCCCTTTTGGGATAAAGGTTTACATTAATAAACAAAAGCTGATCATTTTAATCACCCCAGTCAGTGGCAAATGGATTGTCTAATCCAGTGTTTCTCAGACTTTTTTGAGAAAAATGCTAAAAATATTCTAATAGCTTAAAATAATGCATCAACATCCACACACGAAGGACACCCAATGCTAGAGGTGATTCTATTCTTCAAAATCAAATCAGTGTTTCTCTTCTCCTTACATTTTTTCTCCATCACTCAGCTAATGTTACCCCAACACTCAAAGAGGCAGGGGAGGGTCAAAGAAGGATGCTGTGCAGACGGCCAGCATCCTCCTTATCAACTGATGATGTCATTGGTTGTTGGGATGCCGGTGGCTAGAAGGTCATAATGGTGCACAATGAAAACCTGTGCCTTTGTGTAACTAAAAGGCAGGCTTGATCCACCTCTGGCCTGTATACAATTTTTATGCATTTTGCCAAGGCACCCCCTGAAGAAACCTCAAGGCACCCCAGTTGAAAAAGGCTGGTCTAATCCATGTCAACTGATACAATCTGCTGGAGAGCTTGTGCTTTTGAAAAACAACAGGCTTGCTGTCTGGATCACCAAACTAAAGAAAAAAAAGCAAGAAAGAAAAAAAAAAAAAGAAAAGAAAACTGATGCCTGTCATCACATCTAAGAATTGGTAAGCTGCAATATAATATGTTTGCTTTTGGGTTCATTACTGCTTTAAGTATGTAATAGAAGTAAGATATAAGACTGTCATGTTGATAGTGTGGTCTCTATATTCTATATACCACTTTCAAAGTTTAACTTCATAGTAAGTGTAAAATTGTAAAGAGGGGTTGATCCATAAAAGGAGGCAATAACAGATGTACCTGTAAAACAGGTATTTTTTTTTATATTTTATATATTTACTGTTGTCCATACCATAGAACACTAATTTGATGAAGAGAAATTTCCAACTGAAATTGCTTTATAATCTGACATTATTATTATTATTATTAGTATACAGTGTTTATATAGCTCCAAAAAGTTTGCTCAGCGCTGTACAATATAGTGGGGGACAGTACATGAGACAATACAGTAACAAAACAATATACGAGAGATTCGAGGGCCCTGCTCTTTCGAGTTTACAATCTAGGAATTCAGGAGTGTCAGTCTCCTGTGTGCCTTGCTATGTTGTTGTCCATGTTACTACTTTGCATTGTAATGGTATAGGGCCAGTGGCCATATTAACAGTCAGACAATTTAAAAGGAATATGCTACATTGTCCACACCCACTGATATCCTCTCTGTGCCCCCCTGCAGCTCCTTTCATTGTCACATTGGGGAGCAGTTCAAACCTCCTATGAGTTCTGACACTCACCCACAGGAAGCATACATTGATTTTGTCCTATGCTTCTAATAGAAGAACGGAGTGGTGGCAGAATGCAGTGAAGATGAGTATAAGTGGGAAAGGGGGCTTTAAAGAGAACCTGTCATTTGGCCTTGTAAGGGCAGATTTTTTTTAAGTGTGTAAGTATCCTAAATTATGTGTGTGATATTTTTGATAAATAAAAAAGAGACAGTAAAAGGACACTGTAATGTGGGATCAGCAAAATGCTTTTGACAGAACAAAAAGTATGTTAGATCCCTAACCTACCTACAGAGGAATCCAGAAATTAGACAAAACATAAAATACACTATGTATAAAAATGTATACACCACTTAAAAAAAATACACATACCCAAATTAAAGGTTTAAAACAAGGAAAAAAAGTGTATTTAAGAGAAGAAAGTACAGTAGTAAATAAAGTAAACTAGTCACTGACGCTTGATGACAACTAACACAAGACGCTCCCATACTCCTGGTAGGGTGCGTTTTTCCCCCGAAGAGAGAACCTTACTCTTCAAGTCATAGGATTTTGTGATTAACTGGTGGATCAACTGTGAATTAGCTGCCTTAGATGCCGCCTGACCCTTCCTGGCCCTTCTGGCAAAACAAATAATCAAGTCTGACTGCTTGATCTAATTAGATAACCTTAAAAAAAATTTTGATTGCCCGAACTCCATCCATAATGCAAAGAGCTTCCCTCTGCGACTCCAGAAAAGAAGAAGGTAAGACAATGTCCTGATTGAAAAGAAAAGTTAAACCAATTTCGTCAAAAAAAGATGGATGAGGTTGAAACACCCCTTTATCATGGTGAAGGACCAAAAAATGGCTCCTTACACAAAAGAGATGCCAGCTTTGATACCTTTCTCTTCACAGTGATTGCAACACAAAAAAAAGCAAAGTAAAAACCTCCTTCCGAGTCAATAAGACTAACGGAACATGACGAACTAGATCAAAGGGTGGTTTTCACAAAACAGCCAATACCAAATTAGAATCCCAAGAACACAAGGATGGTCTAACATGCAGAACCATACTTGACACTCCTGAAAAAGGGAACAAAACAATGAAAAAAGAAGCAATCGGCGTCTAGCAAAACAGATAGAGCTTATAACTGGCCTTTAAAAGGTACAAAAGCACTAACTCTCCAGTGCTTCAAAAGGACCAACACCCGGGAGAGGCCAGGGTCATAGTGTATGAATAACCTATGGATAAAGTCCTGGAGATGTAGCCCTCCTCAGATGGGGAAATCAATGAACTGGAAAAAAGCTCTGAGGAAAAGAAACACGTCCCCAAAACTCATCAGCAGGCCGACCACACCACCAGTCAGACAGTCTGCCATCATTTCGGCCATCATTGTGGCCTTGCAGGCTTTCTCTTGTGCTACTTTTGTGAGTATGTTTTATGTCTTTTTTTATACATTTTAATAAACCTTAGATAATACGCTAGCTGTTTGCGCCACCTGTGTGCTTTTTTCTTTGGCCTTTAATGTTACTTAACCTCTTCACGCCAGCCGAACGCAAAATGTGCGGCCTCCCGGTGTCTGGGCCTAGACGCCGAACGGCCGCACATTTGCGTTCTATTAAAAAAGAACATATGTGCTGAGAGCGCGTGACCTGCATGCTCCCAGCACACATGTCCGGTACTCACGAAAAGGTCCCGATCTCCTCTTTCAATTGGGACCCTTCCTGATCATGTCGGCGGCCACATGACCCTAAACCCCACCCCGCCTCTCGGCTTTGGAAACCCTTAAAGGGCCAGGAGGCGCCGGCACCAAGGGGTTAAAGGCAAATTCATCTCTACCCCTGTACGGAGAAAGGCCAATATTTGACCAATCAAAAACTGAGGATGACATTTCTTGGCTTCCCACCTGGACACATAAGACTTCCAAGTCATATAGTAAATCCTCCTGGATGCCAGTTTCCTGCCTTCAGCAGAATAGAGATAACCATCCCAGAGACACCCCAGTCTTTCAGCACCTGGGCTTCAATAGCCAGGCCGTCACTGAGCAATTGTAAAAGAGGGTGCAAGACTGGTCCCTATGACAGAAGGTCTGGCCAGACCGAAAATGCTCAAGGGCCGTCAATCACCAAGTCCACCTTGAACCTGTATATTAGAATATGATTCACCTTCTCTTGGTTAGTCTGATCTTATTGCTGCCCTACTGATTGATACATGCCATGGCCATGGCATTGTCGGACTGAACTTTTACTAGAAGACCCCCTGCAGTCAGTTCATCCAGTGATCCAGTGCAAACAGCACGAAGCTCCTGAATATTGGTGGGCAAAATGCGTTTCCTGAGGGGACAAAGACCCCTGTACTGAGGCAGATCCCAAAATGACTCCCTAACCCAACAGATTGACATTGATAGACATTATCCACTAGATTACC